CATTCCAGCATGCGCGCGCGTGTATTTTTCTGTTTGCGTGCAAGGCGTTTTTGGAACTGCTGATTTGTTATAAACGAGCGCGCGCTTAGTTTTCTGCAGAGGATGAAGGGGGGGATAGTGGCCCGCCTGGGTTGGTATGCGTCCATAATTGGGGCGGACGGTGGGACAGAGACATCTGCACATTGAACTGCGAACGTGTAGCACTAACCTCAAGTGGGGGGGATCCGAATATTCTTTTTGAAATGAGAATGTAAGTTTGGAGACTTTGAGTTTTCAGCTCCGCTACTACCGCAATCCCACCCACCCACCCGCAATTTGGTTTGCTAAACCATGCGGCGGCGATTGCGATGAGTGTTTGGCGTCGTTTGCGCTAGCCCGCGCACGCTCGCGCGCACAGCGGCCAGCTAGTTTGGCGCGGCGCGAGATATCATGGCGACGCCGACAACGGTAGACACGACGCTGATGGTAGCGATGACGGTGACGATGGTGATGATGACGACGGCAAAAGCAATGACAGAGGCGATGCTGATCATGCCCGCCAATAACGATGACGATGTCTTCGCGTCGGCGATGAAGGTTTGTGAAAGAGTTCGACAAGCGCGTGCGGCCGACGCGCGCGAGTGGCCGCGTGGTACGATTTGACACAGATCGTGCCCCCCCCCAAAAAAAAAAAAAAAACAGCATGCGCGCGATGGCGTCTGTCGACATGCGGCGCGAGCGGCCAGTGTGATCGAATTTGATGAACACGTTGAAAACCCGATGGTTCACCCAAAAGACTCGCAATCACGCGCGTGCTGGTTTTTTCTTTTTCTCTCAAGTTGATGTGGTGGCACAACACAATACGTTTGTTACACGTGTTCGGGGCCCTAGGTTTTGAATTCTTCACAACAATCGACGGTTGTTGAAGGGTTTCGGGATGCACGCAATGACGCGCGCGTGCGGTTCTCTCATTTTATTGGCGGAGGGATTGTTGCGACAGCGCGCGCGCAATGACATTCGAACGATTTCGAGGCGCGTGCGGGAGGCCTGTTTGGCAGCGCTTGATGAGAACATTGGAACCACATGGTTTTTCCAGGATTTTTGAAAGGAGGGACGAATGATTTGATGATGGCTGTTTGTTTGGCTTGTTTTATTGGTATGATTGTTTTGAAAATTCTTCATGCGAAACCAATGGTGTCCTATATGTTGCCAGGGCCATCGATTTTGAATTCCTTACGCGTCGAACAAGTGATGAAGGATTCCAGAATGTGCGCGCGACGAGTCGCGCGTGTGTGCGTAGTACCCTTTTCTTATTTGTTGCAACGGGTGTTTGATTGAACACGGATGCTAGTGGATAAACAATTGTGTGCGCATTCGCTTATGCAAAGGATGAGGGCGATCAGGGAATGCCCGGGATGGTCTGAATTCGTATTTCGGATGAGCGTTGGGGCATCATTATTTGTCAAGTGCAAGACTAAAACAACAGCGGACTGTTCGGACCGGGGGAGGTCGGTTTGAGCATCCGTGTAGCAATGGGCATCTGCATGGTGCAATTTATTTTGAGACACTTGGAGATGTGAGCTGTTCTGTTCGCGCAATCTTCCCATCCACCATCCCGCAACTTGGTTCGCAAAACTCTTGCGGTAGCGAGTGCGTTGAGTGCTTGGTGATGGCTGGAGTATCTCTGCGGCCGAGTTGGCCCGCGCATGCTCGCGCGCACAGCGGCCAGCTAGTTGGGCGCGACCGACGCGGCCGCGGTGGCGCGAATCACGAGGCACTTCCCAGCGCGCCGCGCAGGCCGCGCTGACGTGCGGGCGTTTCAATGCGAATCGGTGAGATGGGCGGGCGCCGTATCATGGCGACGTCGACAACGGTAGACACGATGATGATGTAACGATGGTGGTGGCGACAGTGACGATGACGACGTGAAGGGCAAAGACGGCGCCGATGATGAGCACGCTCGATTTTGACGTCTTCACGGGATCTACGGTTTTTGAAGGATGACGGGAATTGCCTCCTCGGAACGAGAAGGTGGTGGGAGTTTTATGGAGGAAGCGTTCCTCAGTATATTTAAAGCACAGAGACGCGAGGGACAACGGGCTCGCGATTGGGCGGGGTCCATCGCTTGGCGGATGCCCCCCTGTATGGCAGTTTCGTTCGAGACATCCCATAAAAAAGTGGGATCTTGAAGGACTTGGTTTAAGACGCTTTACGTAAAAAGTGAGGCTCCCGCTCGAGACATCCTCCAACAAGTGAGATCTCCAGGGGTCTCGCGAATTCGTCGAAATCTTAAAAATGAGGTTCTCGCCCGAGACATCTTCAAAAAATGTGATAGTGGACGAGCTGCTTCGAGACGTCTTCAGTTCAAAATGGGGCTCTCGCTCGAGATATCCTCGAAAAACGGTGATGTCCATGGAGTTTGCGAAACGAGTCGGTCCGAGAAGAGCTCAAGAGGGTTCCAAGACTGTCCAAGAATGCTCCAAGACGGTCCAAGATAACCTATCATCATCATCGCCATTATCATCATGATCATCATCATGATCATCACCAAGACGGCCCAAGAGGGACTCAAGAGGGCTCCCAGAATCTCCAAGAGCACTGCAAGACGGTCCAAGATAACCTTCATCGTCTTCATCATCATCCTCGTCATCACCACTATCATCATCATCATCGTCGTCATCATCATCACATTGTCATCATCCTCGTTAGCGTCATCACGGTGGCGGGATGTACAGAACGCTACATAATCTGATGCATCATGACACTACATCCTCCTCCTGCTTTCCCCTTTCCTCTTCACTTTGTCCTGGGCCACTGAATCGCCATATAACGTTGTCCGTGGCCACGGAGTCGCCATAGAACTTTGTCTTGTTCCCCTCAAACTGGCCGTTTCGCCTGAGGCATCCTCGAAAAATGGGGATGTTGAAAGAGTTGTTTTAAGACGTCGTATCGTTAAAAGCGAAGCTCTCTCTCGAGACATCCTCGGAAAATGGAGTTGTTCAGATCGGTCGCGAAATCGGCCGAATATTCGGAAATGGCAATTTCGCCTGAGACATCCTCGAACAACGGGGATGTTGAAACAGTTGTTTTAAGACGTATTGGTGTTGAAAGTGAGGCTCTCGCTCGAGACATCCTCGGAAAATGGAGTTGTTCAGATCGGTCGCGAACTCTGCCGAATATTCGGAAATGGCCGTTTCGCCTGAGACATCCTCGGAAAACGGGGATGTTGAAACAGTTGTTTAAAGACGTCTCAGTGTTGAAAGTGAGGCTTTCGCTCGAGACATCCTCGGAAACTAGAGTTGTTCAGATCGATCGCCAACTCGGTCGAATATCATCTAGGTAGCGTTCCACGGTCGGGCGGGTTGAAACGGCATGCGGGTTAAAACGGCCACGCGGGTTAAAACGGCCATGCTGGTTAAAACGGCCACGCTGGATCTAGGCAGCGTTCCACGGCCATCCGGGTTAAAACGGCCATGCGGGTTAAAACGGCCACGCGGGTTAAAACGGCCACGCGGGTTAAAAAGGCAACGCTTGATTTAGGTAGGCTGCCACGGCCAGGCGGGTTAAAATGGCCATGCGGGTTAAACCGACCACGCGGGTTAAACCGGCCACGCGGGTTAAAACGGCCACGCTTGATCTAGGTAGCGTTCCACGGCCAGGCGGGTTAAAACGGCCATGCGGTTTCAAACGGACGCCCACCGTACTCCCCCCCCGCCCGCCCGCCCAGCACACACCTGGCACGCACACCGCACACCCCCCCGTCCCGCCCCCCCCCCCGAACACATATTGCATACGCGCACACGCAGGCACACATACGCACACAGCCGCACACGCACCTGCACGCGCACACACAAGCACACACACGCACACACGCATACAGGCCACGCGCAACACTTGACCAAACCAACCAGAGGCAACCACTCAACACAAGCTACTCATGGCAACCATCTGGGCGTTTAGGGAAACCCAGCGACGGCCAACCCCATGTGCACACGTTCCACGTTGTGTGCAAATCCCTGCGCGTGCGCACGCAAGCTCAGAGAAGCGGCGCTTCCCGTTCTTGTCCGGAAATGTTTCTGGATGCACGCGACGACGCGCGCTTGTGCATTTCGTCTTGTTTGTGTTGCATGTTTTAAGACGGATGATTTATAACAAACGAGTGTGCGCGCGTACTGGCGGTGGGTGTCGGTCGCGGCCTGGCTGGTGTGGTACGAGTTCATATTAAGGATGGACGATGGGGCAGAAACGCATGTAACTTGCAATTCGAAAAGGGATGCGGTGATCCTCGGAGGGGGTGGGGGTGGTAAATCCTCATCGTGTACAGAAAAGAGAAACCATGTGGCGCAATACATGTGGCGCAGTCTATGTTGTGCAATCTGGGCGGCGACGGCGACCGCCGAGCCGCCACGTACCCAGGCCCCGGGGCCATCAGAAGTGGACCCGGTACGAAAAACAGTCTTCTGCAAAACGGGGCGGGACTTCCAGACGCTGAGCTAAGGGCCACTCTGGGATCTCCTCCTCCTCCTCCTGCTCCCCCTGTTCCTTCTCCTGATCCTCCTCCTCCTCCTCCTCCTCCTCCTCCCTCCTCCTCCTCCTCCTCCTCCTCCTCCTCCTCCTCCTCCTCCTCCTCCTCCTCCTCCTCCTCCTCCTCCTCCTCCTCCTCCTCCCCCTCCCCCTCCCCTCCCCTCCTCCTCGTCCTCCTCTTCCTCCTCCTGCTCCTCCTGCTCCTCCACCTCTTCCTCCTCCTCATCCTTCCCCTCCTCCCTCCTCCTCCTCCTCCTCCTCCCTCCCTCCTCCTCCTCCTCCTCCTCCTCCTCCTCCATCTTCCTCCTCCTCCTCCTCCTCCTCCTCCTCCTCCTCCTCCTCCTCCTCCTCCTCCTCCTCCTCCTCCTCCTCAGCCATTTTGGCTCAAGGCTCAAGCATTTTGCCTGAGCTCGGCCTCTGGGCTTCCTCGCAGCGCTTGAGGGACCTTGTTTCTTCGCCCCCGCCAGAGGCGAACAGACACTGACAAACACAGAGGCATGGCTGGCACGGATAAGTTGTGGAGCAGGTGTGGACAATGCCAGGCCTGCGAGTGGAATACGGTACTCCGCCGCCGCCACTTGGCATGCAGCAAGTGTGGCAGCACTGTGGAGCTGTACATTGGCAAGAAGCGTGGAGTTCACTTCGCGGCAGTCGAGAGTGAGGATGACCACTTCTACGACGCGACCAGCGACAGTGACGCAGATGACACCAAGGCCCGCAGGCCCCTCCCCCCAGGCATCCTGAAGAAGGGTAGCACCGGCGGGGGCAAGGGCGGCAAGGGCACGTCCATCCGAGGCCTGCTGAAGCAGGCGGCGGCGGCAGCCAAGGAGGACGGCGACGAAGAGCTGATGCGCCACCTCGACAGCCAGATTGAGAGGCTCGAGAAGACGGAGCAAGGGGCCAAGGCGCAGCAGATCTCCCCAGTGGAGGCCCATCGACGGGCAGATGGGGTGTGGCGCAATGCGGAGCATGTGCACGAGCAGGCGGTCGCCAACGTCGTCCGCCTCCGCAGCAACCTGGCGGCTGCGGAGGCGAAGGAACAGGTGGCGGCTCGCTCGCTGGCCGAGGCGGCCGACGCCAAGAAGGCCGCAGCCATCGCCCTTGCGAGGGCAGAGGGCGTGCAGCCTCAGGGTGCAGGTGCGCACGACGAGCACGAGAGGAAGATGATCAACGTGGAGTGGGACGAGAGCTTCTTCTCCAGCCTCGACGAACTCGGGGCGACGGAGGGGGAGAAGAAGGCCTTGGAGGAGCTGAGGACCCAGATGCAGAAGGTCAAGACCCACCTGGAGGGGAAAGAGGCCGAGATCCAGGCATGGCTTGCCCAGATGGCCCAGCACAAGAAGACCATCTCCGAGAGGCTTACCAAGAAGCGGAAGTCCGACGACGGCACCGCGACGCAGGCCCAGGCCCCAGAGGCCGCGGGTGGGACCGCGGGAGCCCCTAGTGGAGGCCCGCAGTCCACCGCCGCAGCTCCAGGGCCTGCGCCCCCCAGGAGCAGCGGCGACCCCGCGGCCCAGGCCGAGGCCGATGCGGCGCGAGAGGCGGCCATCAAGGCCGAGGCAGACCGACTGTCGGAGGCAAAGTTCAAGGCCGCGGAGCTGAAGAGCAAGGCTGCAGGCAAGGGGACGGCAGCTACGGCGACGGCGGCATCAGCTGCTGGCGCTGCGCAGTGACATGCAGGAACAGGGACCCCTCAGACCTTGACTGAGGGGCCGTCAGACGACGGCAGCAGAAGGGACACGGTGATCTTCTTTGCCAATGTTACCTGTCTGACGGATAAAGCATGGAAATTCATTACGGCCAAGCCAACAGCGTTTGACCATTGGGCTATAGTCGAATCGCATATTCACCTGGGCACGGAGCTCAACAAGCTTGCCAAGGACGCGAAGAAGTACAACCTTCGCACAGCAGTCAACCCAGCCCGACGTTCGCAGCGGCCAGTATCGCTCTCCAACGAGCCGAAGGCCAACGAGGGCGGCGAGGTTTGGTTTAGTCAGCAGCATTTAGAGTGCAGTATCTTGGGCGAGGCTCGCACAGCAGCGAAGCATCTTCGGGCACCAGGGTCGATTGCACTAGACGGTTTCCTACCCATGTTACTTCAGCAGCAGGGCTATGCCATCGTGGTTATCGTGCTGTATGCGTTCCCGTGTATTGGAATGTCAGGTCGCAATTGTGAAAGGTTTCGCAAGCTGGGGGGCCTCTTGACATCAATACGTATGCCATGGGTGTGCATCGGGGACTACAACATGTCGCCAGAGACGTTAGCCAAGTCCAAATTCCTGGAGCGCGTCGGGGGCGCCATCATTAGAACGGCAGATGTCACGGGCACTTGCGCCAAAAAGAACGGGGAAGACAGCATGCTTGATTACCTTGTAATGAGCCCATCGGCTGTCCCTTTTGTGAAGGAAGTGAATCCAATTCGGGATGTGGCTTGGAGGCCCCATATAGGCCTAGCTATCACCTTGCGAGCGTCGGGTCAGCAGCTGCAGACTCGAGAGCTTGAGTTGCCGCGCCGTCTCCCACAACCCCCGAGGCCTCGAGTGGAACCAACAGCCGGGTCCAAGTCGAGCGTCACGCGGGCTAAGCTTATTGCAGCACGGCTCTCGGCACACGAGAAGCGAGCTGAGTTTTTTGAAAAGCATTTCGGGGACTGCCTCCAGGACCATGGAGCCCAGGACCCTGCTGGCCAGCAGCATCCGCGGGAGCTTGAGGAGGACATGGATCCCGAGTTTCTGTTTCACCCAGATTTTGAGGAGGACCCATGGGCCAACGAGCTCAACTTCTGTAGCGATGCGCAACTGCCGAGTACCCTTGAGCCCCTGAGAGAGCCCTCGGGTAAGACCCCTCAGGAGCCTCAGCGGGCGGGGGAAAAAGGCATAGATCTGAGTCGAGTAGTCAGTAATTCGGATGTGTGTGAAGCCCAGCCCCCCCGTCCCTTGGAACCCCAGTGTAGTCAGCAGCAGCAAGCCACCAACTTGAGCCCTGGGGCCAAACCTGAGCCCACATTTGAAGTCCCCGTTGAGACGTGGATTGAGAGTAGGAGCCAGGTTGGGTTTCAACCAGGAGCCTCAGTGGTGGCCGCGACCTCCCCCCACCTTTCCTCCTCCGTAGCCTTTTCGCTCGAACCTCAGCATGGCACACTTGTCTCTGGCATGTACGCTGGCTGGGCGACTGCAGTCGAACGGGCCATCCATCTGCATCATGATATTCAGGTCAGCCCTGGGGTGCCACGGTCAGAGGGCCCCAGGTTCGTCGAACGCCCACTGCGGACGACGGCGCACACGCGCCATCTGCCGCTCAGAGACCAACGAAGCCAGTGGTGGACACGGGTACACACAGTCCTCAGCAGTGTATCCCGCCACCGTTCACGTCAGAATGGGAAGAGGCAGCTCGTCGAGTATGCCAAGATATGCGGACAGCTGTGCGACTCACGGCCACCCAACGTTCATACGATCATCAACCCAGGGAAGGAGCCGCCCATGGATGAGTGGACTACCCTCCTCAAGTGCCCGCTGACGACGGCGGCCCCAGTCCTGGATTCTTTCGTCGATTGTTCACGGAAACTTCAAGCACGTGCACAGCGCACGGCAGTGCGCGAGTCCCTGCACGATTTCAAGCAGTGGGTTACGGACGACCCCAGTGCGAATGGCATCCTTCACAAGGCCCTGAAGCAGCAGCCGACGCCACCACCTGACCTCGAGGTTGACGGTAAGGTTTTGATCCACCCGGCCCAGATCCTGGATCAGAAAGCGGTGGCTTTCAAAAAGCTGTGGGCCCCGAGACCCCCTGATCTAGGGGAAGTGCGCGAGATCTTCCGTCTCATCCGAGAGGAGGCCAAGTGGGATTCTCTGCCCGATATCACGGTCGAACAGGTTTATCGGAGCACGAGTTCTATGAAGGCCAAAGCGGGACTCGGAGTGGACATGATGAGCCCAATTGATTTTCAAAGACTTCCCAGTGCTGCCATTCAAGAACTGGTGTTGGTACTGCACAGCATCGAACATGTTTTGGCTTGGCCTGTACAGGTACTCTTAGTTGTGGGGCATCTCACACCGAAGAAGTCAAGTGGAGATAGAGCTATCGGGATCACACCCATGCTCGCCAGGGTGTGGTCTCACATCCGCGAACCACTCGTTCGGCAGTGGTCCACAGACGAAGCCCAGGCGTGGGACGCAGCTGTGGCAGGCAACTCATGCCTCAAGGAGGCATACCTCCGAGCGGTGGATGAGGAGCTGGCGAGCACGATGGGGCTCCAGTTCGGCCACGGATTGCTGGACGTCCAGGAGTTCTACGACACGATCCCCTGGATGCCGCTGGCCAAGGCCGCGCTGCGCCTGCACTTCCCACCTATCATATTATATCTCGAGCTGGTGATGTGCGTTGCCACGAGAACCCTCTCGCTTGAGGGGGCAGTGTCGTCTCCGTTCGAACCGTGCCAAAGTATCGTGCAAGGCCTGAGGTCAGGCACTCGGTTTGCCAAAATTCTGACGCACTTTGTCATGAAGGCTGTGACGACGGCGACGCCGATGATGGCCCATCGAGTTTGGATTGATGATATTTCGCAAAAGACAACAGGCTCTCGTCAGGCTGTCAGGACCAACCTTATCAAGAGCGTGGTCAAGACGGGACAGGAGCTCAGCAAAGTGGGACTCAAGATCGCCAAAAAGTCAGTCATCATGTGCACCACCATGCAGGACGCGCACATGGTGGCCAAAGCTATCAAATTGAAAGGGTTCACGGTGAAAGTTGCTCGGCAGGCCGCATACTTGGGAATAGACTTCTCATGTGGGCGTGGAGGCCGAGCCACTCGCACCCAGAGGCAAGCTAAACATAAGCGCATGAATGGTCAAATCATTCGGTATTGTCGTGTTGGGAAAAGATATCAGCAGTTATCCAAGTTAGAAAAGAACGGAGGCCAGCCTGCGGGCACCTACGGCTTCCAAATCCACGGAATTTTCGGAGAGCAGTTGAAAAGGTGTCGACGGAGGCTAGGGCAGACATGTGGAAGTGGAGTTCGCGGTCGATGTTTGACGACATTATTAGACCTCAGGGCACCGTCGTGTGACCCAGGGGTATCATATCCAGTTCGCTGCATCGATTTGTGGATGGACTCCTGGCAGTCTCAGCCTGACCTGCGGAAGAGCATCAAGTATGTATGGCCACGGATCGTGGCAGATATGCGAGGTCGGCCGTCCAAAGATCAAGTTCGTGCTGTTAAGGGGCCCATCTCCGCCACAATACTGACACTGCTCAAGCTGGAGTGGGACCCAGTCAGTACGTCGGTTTGGTCATATGCGTCTCAGCACAACACGACGGAGGAGTGGCAGTTCCCAGATGAGATCTTCACGGGCAATAGGTGGCTGGACAATCACCGAGGGCTGCTTGCAGATGTTCGAAAGTCGGCTGAACTTATGCAATGGCGCCAAGCAGCTCGACATTATTGTGGAGGAGGCATGGAGGCAGGGGTCGACAATGAGTCCCTACGTCTTCTACTGCTTCAGGTGTCTCAACTCCCACATGGGCTGCGCCTGGCCGAGGTGCTGGTCAACATTGCCACAGGAGGCTTCTGGACGAAGCAGCGGAAGGTCGATGAGCTCAAGGGCTATCGAGGTAATGCACTATGCGACCGATGTCGGGAACACCCTGAGACTCCATGCCATCGAGCGTGGGGTTGCCCCAAGAACACCGGCTCCCCATCCTACATGGCCTCGGAGGAGCTGGTGCCTCAGGCACTGACGCAGGTCGACACGGCTGAGTGTTTCTGGCTGAGGGGCCTCATCCCGTCCCAATGGCTGGTGGTCCCGACGGCGCCGACTGAAGCCCAGTGGGAGGTTGTCGGCATCAACGGCTTGACCCAGGGCGTGTTTGGAGAGGGTTCACCAGCGGCACCAATTCAGATATATGGTGACGCCAGCGGTGGAGCTGACTCGGCCATGACAAGGCTGAGACGAGTAGGTGTCGCGATTGTGTGCACAGAGCAGATATTTCCAGAGTTGCTGATCACGGGTGCTGTCTTCGGCCCCTTGGAAGGCGACCGCCAGGTCGTACCCAGAGGCGAACTGATGGCCCTGTACATGGCACTGTGGACTACCTCTAGATATTTGACCTACACCACTGACTGCGAGGCGGTCGCACAGGGGTGGTACGAGAAACGGTTCGCTCAACCCGCGGGGCTTGATGCAGACCTATGGCAGAAGATTGGCGAGCTCATGCACGCCAGAGAGTTTTGTGACGTTGTGGTTTTGTGGACCAGGTCGCATCTGGGACCCGCTGAGATGCTGGACGGAAAAGGTATCCGCTCCCTTGTCATCGGCAACGCCCTGGCCGACGAGTTCGCTGGATTCGCGGCGGAGAAGGCACGTGTCCCACAGGCCATCCGCACACGTGTGTTGTGTCATGAGAGGCGCGCGTTCCTTGTGCGCATGAGACTGGCGAGAGCAGCGATGGACAGCATGCAGGCCACTCGAGAGGCTGAGCGGGAGGAGAAGCGGATGTCTCGTGAGGCCCCAACGGGCCCGCCTCCCCCGCCCCCCCCTCCTCCTCTGCCTGCTTCTGTTGTTGCAGCGTTCCAGTCCCGCCACAGGCTGGCCGATTGCCAGCGGAAATGCCTGCAATGTTTTGGATCAGCATCCGCTGACACTGTGAAAGAATTCTGGGCTTCTGAATGTAACCCCCTGTACAATGTGAATGGGGTCATTTTCTCTCCTAGGAAGGGGGCGAGGGTACACATAGCGGGGGGCTGGGCACATACTACACACACCTTGAATGTACACGTGTCACTCCAGGTATGGTTCTGTAGTGTGTGCGGGGCCATCGCCGACAAGGCGATATGCTCGCTGAAAGCGCCTTGTAAGCTTAGATTGTCCAAGCATGGAAGGGCATACCTTGACAGGATCCACAGGGGGTTACAGCCCAAGGTCCTGAGTCGAGCCGAGCTTTCGGCTCGCTCGAGCGCCCCATCCAGGCCAGGCTAGGCGAAACCGAACTTGCATCGCAACGGGGTCCACTCCACTCCACTCCACTCCTCCTCCTCGTCCCCCTCTTCCTCCATCGGGGGGGGGGGGCTCTGCTGGGCGGGCCGCTGCTCAGAGCCCTGGGCTGTGGGGCCCCGTGGCGGAGGCCCACCGTGGGGGCGGGCATCGGGGAGCAGGCAGCGACACGAGCACCACGAGCCTGGTGGTCCGCGCGGGTGTCTCGGATCGGCGCGGGGCCCGCGGCACGGGCGCGGCCCAGGGGGGCGGGCGGGCGGGGGACGCGCCGAGGTGAGAAGAGGCGCCAGGAGCTCTGGGGAGGCAGCGTGGCCCCCGCCACGAGCTCTTCCCCCCCCCTCAGTCTGAAGTCGGGCACGTCCCTCCACACAGGGGGAGTGCTCAAAACACTAAAATCATATGATCAGGGGGTGATGTTTTGAGCATTCGTATTTTGCAGTATGTTTCGGGTATTGCTTATATTATATTATATATATGTATATATATACATATATACAACACAAAACGCAAAACACCAAAAAACGTCAAAATCCGCCTGTAGGGGGACATGCCCGACCTGACCCTAGGCATCGACCCCCGTCTTTGCCGCCCCCCCGATGCCAGGCCTCCGGCGCCGCACCACGGCCTCGGGCCCGCACGGCCCGCAGGCCTCGGGTCCGCCCGCCCGGACCTCCTTGGCGCGCGGAGCGCGCCAGGGATGGCGCGGGAGGCGCCGCCAGGGGGTTCCAGCACCGATCCCAGAGGTCCGCGCGGACCTCCGAGTTGCGTATAATGCATGCCAGGGGTCGACGTTGCGAAGCGGAGATGGCGTCGGGAGTCTGGGAAGCGCAGTCACGCATGCACGACTTCGTGAAAACAAGCAGGGTAAACTCCATGGGGGTTGATTGGGGCGGTAGGAGGCTGCGTGTGTGTGTGTGTGTGTGTGTGTGTGTGTGTGTGTGTGTGTGTGTGCCGGAGCTCTCTTTCCAGTTCTGTTCACCGCAGCAATTGTTGCCACAAGTTGGGTTGGGACAGGATCCCAACGCCAGGTAACTTTCTGTAGAAGCGTCAGCTTGAGTCGAGAGCCACTGCATAAACACATCGTTGAGAAACTTATCTGCTTGATTCGTCGAGGGGCCCATTTCCAGATTGTTTGTTTTGTTTATGTTGGCTGTTTTTTTGTGTTTTCCAACAAGAAACAAAAGTCGCAGAGCTTCGCGCGGATTTGTTGGATCGGCGCTTGGCTTGCCTGGCGGTGCCCCCGGCGCCGTTTCAGGCGTGCTCCGCGCGCCAGGAAAGGAGGCCCAGCGCCGATCCAAGAAGTCCGCGCGGACCTCCGAAAGTTGATGCTGATGCCGTTGTTGTGTTTCTAAGTAGTGAACTCGTGGGCGGGAAATGTATCCATATCCACGGCCTTGCAGGCTGGGCTTCTTGGCCGCGACCCATGGATACGAGGCGTTCTCTCGCGGATGCTCCGACGCGACCGCGTATCCCCGGGAATGCACCCTGAACTCCAGACCGCGAGGGCTTGGATGTGGATATGCTCGCCGCCCGTGAGCAGCGGCACTCTGTCTGGGGTGGCTGCCGACGCGGAAGACATTTTTCTCCGCCCCTTCTCTTTGTATTGGTTCCTCGATGTCGCACCCCCTGACGTGTCGGTAGGGTGGGCCGAGCATTTTGCTTGAGAGCCTTGAAACCAGGATAGAGCATTGTGTATTTTCAAAGTGTGGCTCTCGCCTTAGCGCCGCGCAATTTCGTCTTAAACTGCAGCAGCTTCAAGGATAGAGGGCCGTGGTTTTCAACATGTCTATCTCCCCTCAGCGTCGCGCGCATTCGCCTTAAACTGATGCAGCAGATTCAAGGATGGATTGGCTGCCGTTTTAGACATGATGCTCTCGCCATAGCGTCGAGCGCATTCGTCGTAAAAGCTTGCAACAGCTTCAGTGCTGGAGGCGGGGGCCATTCTCAAAATAAGGAGCTCGCCCTGGCGCTGCGCACATGTGGCTTAACATGATGTTTCAAAGATGGAGGGCGGCTCCTTTTCCAAGTGTGGCTCTCGCTTCATCTCCTCGCACACTCGCCTCACAATTTTGCAACTTTCCGAATGCATGCGTACGGATGCTTTTAACAGTATTGCTCCAGCGTTTGCGTCGCGCTTATTTGGTCTTGTCTGCAACGGCTCACTGGTGTCTTTTCAAGTTGGGGCACTCACTTTTTGGGGCGCGCATTATTTGCACACGCTTGGTGTTGCCGCCGTGACCTTTCTTGCCAGGGCTTTGCCAATTTGGGCCTGTGATTTCAAATTCGGTTTGCCCTTACGGGCTGCGAGGATGGGATCGTCATGCGACGGACCCTCCCATTTTGATCCCGCGGATCCTTCTCCTACAGTGGAAGAGGTGTTCCTCGCGCCGGGCTATCGCGTCCGAGGCCGCCAAGGAATTTTGGCGGCTTGCCACTCTCGGGCATCGTGTGCCCGACACCGATCACTGGGACGCCACCCAGGCCCTTGTGGACTCTGTTGCCGTGGCTCCCTGGTCCGCCGAGAGGCCCAAGACGGGCCGTGCCAGAACTACGGAATGCCAGGCTGCCCTCCTTCGCAGCTCGCACTGTTTCATTAAGACGGGTCACGAGTGGATACGCTCGCTTTACTCGAGGATGTTTCTCTTGTCTCAGGTGCTGGAGGCTTGCCGGGGCCCGTGCCCCTGCCTTTTCGGCAGGTGAGGAGCCCTTCGGTCCTTGGATTGTTCGGGCCAGCGGGGTGTTGACGGTGGGGGGAAGGCATCGCTTGCATGTCTGACCGATGCGCTCCGTTGACTTCTGCTCCTGCTGTGGCCGCTCGGACGGCATTTGGGCGAGCAGCGCACCCCCCTCGCCGAGAAGGGTCGGGAGGGGGAGGGGGAGGGGGAGGGGGAGGGGGAGGGGGAGGGGGAGGGGGAGGAGGGGAGGGGAGGAAGGAGGAGGAGGAGGAGGAGGAGGGGGAGGGGGAGGAGGAGGAGGAGGAGGAGGAGGAGGAGGAGGAGGAGGAGGAGGAGGAGGAGGAGGAGGAGGAGGAGGAGGAGGAGGAAGGAGGAGGAGGAGGAGGAGGAGGAGGCGGAGAGGAGGAGGAGGAGGAGGAGGAGGAGGAGGGGAGGAGGGGGAGGAGGAGGAGGGGAGGAGGGGGGGGGGAGGGGGAGAGGGGGGAAGGGGAGCGGGAGGGGGAGGGGGAGGCGCTGCCTCCCCGGCCACGACGGCCCGCTGCCCCCCCGTCGGGGAGGCCGCCGCCGGCCGGGCGCGGCGCGGCCAGGCGCGGTGCACGGTGCTCTGCGCTCTGTGCGCTGCGCGGTGGCCTCCGCAGCGGTGGCCGTGGCGCCAAAGGCGCTGCAGGGCACTCCCCCTCTCCTCGTCCTGCGGCCAGCGCCTGCAGCTGCCTCGACGGGCTGTGCAGTGGCGGTGCGCCCTCGCGTATCCCCCTGCTCCTCCTCCTCCTCCTCCTCCTCCCTCCACTCCTCCTCCCTCCTCGTCCTCCTCGTGTTATTCGTATGATTGGTGCCAGTATTAGTCATTTTCTGCCTCGTGTGATTGTTCGCCTGCTTCTTCGTATTCAGCTTCGGCTTACTAGTATCATCCCCCGTATTCTTACCAGCATTCGTGTTGTCAGAGCCGTAGTGTTCTACTTGTTCTTAGCCGTAGTAGTATACTTGACGCTTTCCGTGCTACTTGTCTTAGCATGCGCTCTTTTCTTATTATTGCCGTAGTGGTATATTTGTTCTGATCGGTAAGATGCGTGACCCAAGGCGATTCTGATTCGCAAGCGTTACGTGAGGTGGTGCATTCCTCTTGCTATGAGTAGTCGTATGAGGAACATTCTTATGTTCAGTATGATATGTTTCCCCGTCTTTCTCCTCCTCATGCTCCTCCTCTTCCTCTCCCTCCTCCTCCCCCTCCTCCTTCTTCTCCTCGTCCCCTTTCTCCTCCTCCTCCCCCTCCTTCTCCTCCTCCTCCTTCCTCCCCGCCCTCCGCATCCTCTCCCCTACTCTCCCTCCCCTCCGCAGGAGAGCGCCGCCTACGCCGCCGCCGCGGGTGCCGCCTGCGTCGCCTCGGTGGTGGGCGGCGCCCCGCTGGGAGCCCCCGCCGCTTGGGCCGCACCCGCTCAGGCGGACGGGCGGGCGGATGGAGGATGGAGGCTGGAGGATGGCTGATGGAGGATGGAGGATGGAGGATGGCGGGGTAGGAGGAGGAGGAGGAGGAGGAGGAGGAGGAGAGCAGGAGGAGGGAGCAGGAGAGGAGGAGGAGGGGGACGAGGAGGAGGAGAGGAGGAGGAGGAGGAGGAGGAGGAGGGTCAGGAGGAGGAGGAGGGGGAGGAGGAGGAGGAGGAAGGAAGGGAGGAGGAGGAGAAGAGGAGAGGAGGAGGGGAGGAGGAGGAGAGGAGGAACAGGAGGATGAGGGGGAGGAGGAGGAGGAGAGGATGAGGAGGAGGAGGAGGAGGAGGAGCATAAGGATGAGGATAAGGATAAGGATGAGGCCCTTGGTGGCCTGAGTCTTCCTATTAGGAAAGGCAGGGGCCCCGGGGGGAACATACGGATGCAGACCCCCATGTACTACGGTTCGTCCTGGGGGCTGCCTGGTGCGCGCGGCCTCCTACCCTGTGGTAAGGGGCCGCTGCACCGTAGCGGGGGGGACCCCTGCCCTCGCGAGCTGGGTGCGAGGTGCGGGCGGGCGGGGGGCGCCTCTCCGTGGAGGCGGCCGTCCCTTCCGCTGAGGCCCCCCCCCCGCTCCCTCACTCCCCCCGCCCACCCTCCTCATCGAATTACTCACTGCGTGGAGCTCCCCATATGTGCATCTCATGTTTTATGTCATGCCGTGGTGAGCGTCTGTTCATGAGCGGTCGACTACAATAGCTCGTCCACGTGGGCGACGGCCGACGAAGACGAGTGACCCCTAATGCGAGTGATTGCGTATGAGTCAGAGTGAGCTTTGAGTATGGTTGAATGCGAGCCTCTTCCTCTTCATCCCCCCTCCTCAGCTGCCAGGCCTTCCCCTTGTCAGCCCGTGGTAGCTTTGGAGCTTCCCACATGTGCATATGTTTTTTGGATAGTTGGCGGTGGGATATGTAAGACGAGCGTTTAGCCACACAAGGCCATAAATGCATGTCATGTTGGAGGGTAGTGCCACGGTGAGCATTTATCTATGATAGATGTTTGCTCCACGAGCGCGTCCATGTGAGCGGCGAGCACACGCGCGCGCAGCGCGGCTGCACATCCACCGCGTGCATGCATTCATTCACGTGCATATGCCCGCGCATCTTTTTTGTCAAGGCAAGGAATTCCCTCGGCGCCGCGTCCGAAGCACCATGGGGAGCACGAGTGACAAGTGCTTCAAGCGGCACCTCGCGACCTGCACCCCAGCTTTAACCGTCCGCACTTCGCATCGGGTCTCAACCTCGGGCGCAAACATGTTTTGCAAAAAGTCAACGCCCGCGCCGTTCACACTGGGTTTCGAGCGCCGGAATCGACAAGAGACTCATTTCCCTCGCTCACGCCATCCTCCTCGTCCTCAATCTCTTAGACATCATCCCCTTCATCCTTGTCGTCATCCTTCACCTCATCGTCCTGATCCCCTCGCTTCCTCCCCCAGTCCTCCTCCTCCTCCTCCTCCTCCTCCTCCTTCTCCTCTTCCTCCCCCTCTTCCTCCTCAACCCTGGTTCCCCAGGGCGCGTTTCACCACTTTTGGAGGCGCAGCCCCGCCGGCGATGTTGGGCATGAAAACGAGCAAACCGCCTGAGACATCCCCACAAAATGGCCGCGAACGAGCCCGTGCAACCACCCCTGGCGGCTCCCCTTAGGGGTGCTGAAACCAGCGCCCCGCCTGAGACATCCTCACAATCTGCTCTCCAAGCGAAGGATGTTGAGCCCAGAAACAAGCAAACCGCCTGAGACATCCCCACAAAATGGCCGCGAACGAGCCCGTGCAAACACCCTTGGCGGCTCCCCTTAGGGGTGCTGAAACCAGCGCCCCGCCTGAGACATCCTCACAATCTGCTCTCCGAGCGAAGGATGTTGAGCCCAGAAACAAGCAAACCGCTTGAAACATCCCCACAAAATGGCCGCGAACGAGCCCGTGCAAACACCCCTGGCGGCTCCCCTTTGGGGTGCTGAAACCAGCGCCCCGCCTGAGACATCCTCACAATCTGCTCTCCGAGCGAAGGATGTTAGGCCCAGAAACAAGCAAACCGCCTGAGACATCCCCACAAAATGGCCGCGAACGAGCCCGTGCAAACACCCCTGGCGGCCCCCCTTAGGGGTGCTGAAACCAGCGCCCCGCCTGAGACATCCTCACAAATCTGCTCCGAGCGAAGGATGTTGAGCCAGAAACAAGCAAACCGCCTGAGACATCTCCACAAAATGGCCGCGAACGAGCCCGTGCAAACACCACTGGCGGCTCCCCTTAGGGGTGCTGAAACCAGCGCCCCGCCTGAGACATCCTCACAATCTGCTCTCCAAACGAAGGATGTTGAGCCCAGAAACAAGCAAACCGCCTGAGACATCCCCACAAAATGGCCGCGAACGAGCCCGTGCAAACACCCTTTGGCGGCTCCCTTTAGGGGTGCTGAAACCAGCGCCCCGCCTGAGACATCCTCACAATTTGCTCTCCAATCGAAGGGTGTTGAGCCCTGAAACAAGCAAACCGCTTGAGACATCCTTACAAAATGGCCGCGAACGAACCCGTGCAAACACCCCTGGCGGCTCCCCTTAGGGGTGCTGAAACCAGCGCCCCGCTTGAGACATCCTCACAATCTGCTCTCCAAACGAAGGATGTTAGGCCCAGAAACAAGCAAACCGCTTGAGACATCCCCACAAAATGGCCGCGAACGAGCCCATGCAAACACCCCTGGCGGCTCTCCTTAGGGGTGCTGAAACCAGCGCCCCGCCTGAGACATCCTCACAATATGCTCTCCAAGCGAAGGATGTTGAGCCCAGAAACAAGCAAACCGCCTGAGACATCCCCACAAAATGGCCGCGAACGAGCCCGTGCAAACACCCCTGGCGGCTCCCCTTAGGGGTGCTGAAACCAGCGCCCCGCTTGAGACATCCTCCAAATCTGATGTGTGTTGAGTAAGTCTGAGTATGAGTAGGTCTGAGTATGAGTATGCCTGAGTAGGAGTAAGTCTGTGTATGAGTAAGTCTGTTTATGAGTAAGTCTGGGTATGAGTAGGTCTGTGAATGAAAAAGTCTGTGTATGTGTACGTCTGGGTCTGAGTAAGTCTGAGTATGAGTAATACTGTGTATGAGTAAGTCTGGGTATGAGCAAGTGTGTGTGTGTGTGTATGAGTACGCCTGGGTGTGAGTAAGTCTGTGTATGAGTAAGTCTGTGTATGAGTATGTCTGAGTGTGAGTAAGTCTGAGTATGAGTAGGTCAGAGTATGAGTAAGTTTGAGTATGAGTAAGTCTGAATATGAGTAGGTCTGAGTATGAGGAAAGAGGAGGAGGGGAGGAGGAAAGAGGAGGAGGGAGAGGGAGTAGGAGGCGTCCAAGTAATAATAAGAACCCCATCTTAGGATATGGGGAAAAAAGAAGCCGGCCTGCTGGACTGACGTTACCTTGTCCTGTGCAAGATCTTCGGCGCCGCCTGTTTTTTTGAGCCCTCCGGCCGCCTGAGGCCCCCCCCCGCCCGCGCCCTGTCTCCCCAATTAGGGCTACCCGCGTCCCGTTTAGCTCTTGACCGGAAGGGGCCCGCTCCCGACCCGCAGACCCCCCCCAACAAGAGCCTGCTGGACTGACGTGCAGTGGGGCCCGCCGTACTGCCAGTGCCGCATGGTTGGGCCTCGTCGGCAGGGTTGGCGCCGACGGTCCGTGCGAGGCAGGCGGGCCCGAAAGCAACAGAGGACGGCAGGCGCTGGCTGGACTCAAGGCTCACGACAGCAGCCCCAGCCCCCACCCCGCCTTCTCGGCGACCGTGGCGTCGCAGAGGCGGAGGTCCCCGCTCGGGCTCGGAGCCGTTGGATCCGCTGGGATCCTTGGCGGGGGTGGGGGCTGGACCTGCAGCTGCGATGGCAGCACCTTGGTCTTCGACTTCCACCCCTGGATGCTCTTGCTGGGCGGCAAGCACCTGGGGCGCTGCTGCTTGGTGCTGCCATGCGCCCGCTGCAGTCTGCTGAGCCCGCTCTGGTCCACCGTCTTCACCTCGTCGTACCCCCATCCGTGGCTGCTCGCCGTCCACTTGGTGTAGCAGTCCTCGAACTCGTCGATCTGGAGCCTCTCGTAGCGTAGTCCAGTTCCCATGGGGCAGGCCCCTGGCGGAGCCGACTCTGGTTGCTGATAATGATCTCGACCCCTCGGCAGTGCTCGATGGCCTTGCTGTTCTCGTGCAGTTGCTGCCGCAGCAGTTCCGCCGCGTGGGTCCTCTCGATCTCCTCGTACCGGCTCGAGCTCCTGCTGGCCGTGATCCTCGTGAGGCGCACCGTGATGCGCTCCTGCTGCCTGTGCATGCCACATCGTACCATCTGGCTGTGCTGGCTGATGTCGTCGTACGTCGCACTGGTGCCGTGCAGCGTCTTGCCTGGCATCGCTCGGGCGTGTGCATTTTTCCTTCGGCGAGGGCCATCGGGGAGCATCCTTGATGATTTGGCGAAAAAACCACGCACGAAACCGAAAAACAACACAGGGAATGGACGTCCGAGCGATGCCCATTCCCTGTGTCACTTCGGTTCCGAAGGCGTGGTCTCGCAGGCCTAGAGGTTGACACCAACACCAAGATCGGCGGTGTGCCTCCGCCGAGGGAAGACGATCCCGATCTCGGTGATGGTGGTAATATTCTGGCTTCCAAGGTGACCGAAATATTACCACCAACACCTAAATTTAGGAGCATCTTCCCCTTGTGGAGACAACCCCCTGTGCTGGTGTTGGTGTCAATTTCCAGGCCTCCAATGGTCTCCTGGTCCGCCTCCACGCTGCGTCGGTCGCTGGATCGCCACCTCTGCCGTGCCACTCGCCGCCCCCTGCGTTGGGGAGCTGGGGCTCTCGGGCGCCGCGCGGGCGCCGCCCACGCCGCCGGGCTGCGGTGCTGCGCCACGCCAGCTGGCCGCGGCGTCGGTGGTAGCTCAAACTGCCTCCTCCTCCTCCTTCTCCTCCTCCTCCTCCTCCCCCTCCTCCTCCTCCTCCTCCTCCTCCTCCTCCTCCTCCTCCTCCTTCTCCTCCTCCTCCTCCTCCTCCTCCTCCTCCCTCCTGCTCTTTCTCCTCCTCCTCCTTCCTCCTCCTCTTCCTCCACCTCCTTCCCCTCTCCAGCTTATGGCGGTGGTTGAAAACAGGCCCATCAGGCAGGCAGAGGGGGGGGGCACAGTGAACTCCGGTCGAGTAGAAAAGGCTGCGGTGGGAGGCGGACCTGGTGGGGTTGGAGTCGGAGCCCGTCGCCGTGCTCCTGGCCTGGCCCGGTTGTTACTCTGACCGGGGAGCACAGCGTAGTGGGAGGGATCGGGCGTGGGACCGCAGTTGTGTCGGTGGTTGTGGGAGGAGGTGGGAAGGCTGGGTAGCGCTGGGATTCCTGTCCGGTCCAACTCCTGGTGCTCAATGTCCAGTATATGAACAAAATTTGCCATGGATAGTTTTGCTTCTTGGCCGTTGCCGCGTCGTCTCCATCTTTCTCTTCCTCCATCCTCTTGCGCCTTGCTTCTTTATTTATCGCCTTCACTTTGGTCCAACCGAGGGCCACGCATCCAGCAGCGCGGCGCGGCGCACGTAAAATTGATCCAAAAATGGTCCTGGGTTGCCGCCCCCATTCGGGTGGTCCTGGTACGGGTTCTCTTGTATCTCCCGAGGCTCCGTAGTGGTGGTCCCTGTGGGGCCCTTTGTTTCCCTCCCCCCCTTTCTGGTGGGCGGATCGCCGTTGTCGGTCCGCCGTCGGCACAGTGGTTACCGTACGTAGTAGGCCCTCTCGTACTCGTGCACGTACTGCTGTCGTGAGATCCTGTTTCCGGTGGCTGTCTGCCAAGTCCCGCAACTGGGGCCACTGCGCCTAATATCGGCCACGCGCAGAGGGGGGTGGGGGGAGGGGGGAGGGCGTCTTAGAAACCAACCCTGCTTCTAGAAGGCGCGAGCCTTATCTATAGACAGAAGGCCGGCGCCTTCTAAGAAGCAGCCTGCTTCTAAGAAGCCCTCCCCCCTCCCTCCACCCCCTTGTGCGCGCCGCCAATAATAGTGATGGGGGTAGTAGTGGGGGGGGGGTAGACCGTATCTGCGAGATTAGGTTGGCAGAAGTTGTGTCCACCCTTATCCCAGTGTGGTCCCATGGCCTAATCGTATGCCCTCGAGCGTTATGATGATGCTGATGATGTAGATGGTGATGATGCTGCTGGTGATAATGATGTAATGATGATGGTGATGATGGTGATGATGATGATGGTAGTGGTGGTGATGATGCTGGTGCTGGTGATGATGAAGATGATGATAATGCTTTTGATGCGGATGGTGATGCTGATGGTGATTATGGTG